GAAATACCCAGAATGTTTTTATAAGCGAGGTTTAGATGTGGCACAAGGCCGAAATATGAAGAGCACCCAGTGAGATTCGATCTCACTAATCAGTGGTAATTGATCCAGTGACAAAAGCTTGCTAACCATTGCACCACGTCAATGAACCCGGAATGATTTTATAAGCGAGGTTTAGATATGGCACAAGGCCGAAAAATGAAGAGCACCCAGTGAGATTCGATCTCACTAATCAGTGGTAATTGATCCAGTGACACAAGCTTGCTAACCATTGCACCACGTCAATGTACCCAGAATGATTTTATAAGCGTAGTGTGGAGCACTTAGTGAGAGTCTAAGTCACTAATCAGTCGTAATTGATCGAGCGAGACAAGATGGCTAACCAGTACACCACACTGAAGTGCCCAAAGTAAACTGCTGATGGGTTAACGGTTATTGCTGAAAGACTCTGTACGGCTTTAGATAAGAATGGTGAATTTCGGGTCGCTACTTTAGATATCTCGAAGCCGTTTAACAGGGTTTGAAATGCTGGTCTTCTTCACAAGTTGGAAGTTTTTGGTACTTCTGGACGAATTTTTGATTTGATTAAATTTTTCTTATCAAATCTTGAACGGCTACTCTTCTAGATCTTTTTGTATTAAAGCGAATATCCTCCTCCCCAGGGCTCCACATTTGAATGTATTTTGTTCCTAATTTTCATCAACGACATTCCCGATGTCATCGGTTCTCGACGTGATATTTATGCCGAGGACACAAATATTTACTCCTGCCTTAAAGCAAATTCTGATAGGTTCCATAACGTTTAACCGGTAGCTGATCACAAAATAGAAATTCAATCTGTTGTTAACTGGGGCAAGAAATGGTTTGTTAATTTTAACGCCTCCGAAACGAAACTACTCTCTTTTAATCATCTTAGACAACGTTTTTTACCTTCCACCAGGATGGCTGATGCTAACCTCGAGAAGATTGACTCGTTCAACCTTCTTTCGAGCTAATATTTCCACTGACGTGAAGTGGATCGATTATATTGAATCAATTGCTAGGAAAATTGGTTTATTATGTCGTGCTGGAATTTTTCTGATCACAATCTATCTTACACCATTATAAGTCTACCATTCGTCTATGCATTGTATATTGCTATCATATCTGGTCTGGTGCTTATATTATGTATTTAGAGATTCTTGACAAAATCCCTCCCCCCGCCAAATCAGCAATGTTACCGGTCATGACCTGGCATTTCGGCTTCAGTCATTTTCCTACCACCGCAACGTAGCTTTCCTGTTCTTTTTCTATAAATATTTTCATTAAGCCTTGTAATGAAGATGTGGTGTAAGATACTATCATAAATTCACACAGGCTTGTCAGGAAAGGTCACCGCTGCCTCCCTCTGTCTCTCTTACCCTTTATATACCTTGTGAGCGTTAAATTTTCCAAGCCCTCCTTCCTCTTTATGTGTCTAAGAAATTGCAGATGTTCCTTTCTTATACAGAAAGTGAGTAAGGGTTCTTTTTGTTGGCATTTTCTTTTAGACTTTCTCGTCGCTTACTCGCTCCATCACTGGAATTCTTAGTATCCTCCTGTAGAATCACTTTATCTTTCTTTGGTGGAGGAAAGTCACGTGGGTTACGTGACGGCCGCTTAGAGACGTCCTTCCATACAGTGACGAAAGCGGTAGTCAATTGCAGTCTGTTTACAACAGCCAAACCGAGCGGTTGCTTTTTTAGCCACAGCCAGCTGGTCCGGGCTGAGGCTAAATCTGCCTCCTCCAGCAAATGCTATAGCTTACAAGTCCATGGTGCCGTTTTTGTTTTTTGTTTGTTTGTTGTTTTTTTTTTGGAGGGGGGTGTATGTCTTCCCCAGATATAGATAGAAATACCTGCTCGCAGTCCTAAATTTGGGAAAACCCAAGATTGGCTGTTTCCCTTTCATGGAATATGTTCATGCCTGGGACATGGTAGATGAATCTGGCCCATTTGAACATGGAATCCTAAACATGGCTTCGCCAGACACAAAAGTATCTCCATGTTATATATAAGACTTCTTTTTTGTTTGTCCTTACACTCTGCTTGTTCTTTAGATATATGATATATGATTCTCCTCGTGTATATATGTATATATTGTTTTGTGTACGTGTTTTAGTACTATAAAAGTCTCTCTGAGAACAAAGAATATGTGGAATCTTCCACGTCAGCCAGTCACCCCTGCGTGGGTAAATAAACTATTCTCTGTAAGTGAATATATGACAAGCATTCATTGGTTAATAACCTTCAATCTAGCTCGCTGATTGAAAAGTTCCGACCAATCAAATCACCCACACGCGACAAATCTGTTTTCCCGCGTTTTTCATCTGAGCCTGTCACGTGGTACAACAAAATTATAAAAACAAAACACGTGTAAACTCTCTCTCTCTCTCGCGTCTCATTCCTTGCTGCCAAGATGTAATCTTCAAGAACTCCCGTCTTAACTAATGCAGTCAGACGTTAAGGACCATTACCAACATTCACGCAAGTACGAATTCTGAAATCTCTTCTGAACTTTTACCAACTTGTACAATACACAATTCCAAACATGTTAAAGAAACTTTATTCTTCTAAACTACAGTTTAATAATTACTTTCACTTTATGAGCTCAAATACAAATATTTCCAAGTCTAAGAGACACAACTCTGTCTAACTTTTCAGTTCATGTACATCAAATACTTAATAAATTGAATTGTTACGTTTTGAAACAATACGTTATGCTTTTGAATAATTATTTCTATGTCTTGTATTAATTGTTGTGGATGGAAGATTATTGAAGCACACAATTTTAAGCCTTCTGATAATTCAAACCTTCTATTCCTCTCCAACACACATCACACATCCCGCAACAAATATTTGTCATTCCTTTTCCATTCAATCATCCCGTCCATGAACTACAGTGTTATTCTATCACGGATATAGTAATACCCACAACGAGGGAAACATAAAAGGGAGAATAAATCTTTCTTCCAAGCTCTCCCGTTATATCCGCGTCCACCACAGAAAGAAATGACAATCCACTGCTTGAAAATCATCTGCCTAGTCAGTGATAAACCGAAAGAGACATGATCGCCCCGGTGTGTATCACGTATTAGCGCTAAGCTGACTGATTGTTTAGTGTTCGGTGCGTTTTTCTATTACTCTGCATTGTTTGTTGTCATTTTTTATCACCTCTAGAATTTCTTCTGTCATCCACGCGTTCTTTGCTTATCTCGTTTTCCTTGGGATAATTTCATTCAATGACGTCACACGTCTCACTCTCAGCAGGGCCAGTGTGTAATACCCTCGACCTACACCTCCGCCGACCAGGAAGGAACTTCATTGAGAGCCCCGGGCTGTTCATTCTAACTCTCGCTATCTTATCAATATTTGCTTTTTTTTTCCTAACTGCATTTATATACGTTACAAGTTAAACTGACTATTAAAGGGTGATAAATTTTCGCGGATTTTGACGTCATTCTGGGGTTCTCTTTTTCCTTTATCCAAATCCATGAATGTTTTTTTTTCTTTTACGTTTATTTTTATTTATTTATTTATTTATTTATTTTTTGCTTCTGTTAAGTCTTGAAAAAATTTATATAAAATTCACTGTTTTTTTAATCCATAATATTCAACTTTTTACAGATGACAACAGCTATTAAGGAGATGTGATTAAGTATACTTTAATGTTTTAAAAAAAAATCCAGTATTATTATTGTTTAACACAAATAGCTATTTTGTGGAAAGATGAATTTTCGACAATATACGCAATTTTTTTTTACGTATTTATGGTTATTTTTTAACTTTTAGCAAAAACGACATTCTTGTACATGTAGTTATAGATAATATTATACATTAATTACTATTTTTTTTTAATTGATAACTATTTGTGCTCATTTTTTGACATTACTACCTCTATGCTGATGTGTTAAAATTTTGGAATAATGTAATCATGAGAATCTCAAGTTGATGTTAAAAACTGTCGCAAATCATTATTGCTTTATTTTAATATGGAATGATATGTCTCTAATTTGTATTCATGTAATGCATTTTTATTTTCAATACTTCTAGTTCAATTGTTCACCTTTAAAAATTTATATGAAAACTAGGTTATGGAATTTGAGAGGGTGGGGGCATAGATTGTAGGAGGCGTATGGGAGGCGCACGAGGCCCTGTAAAATGACAAAGTTGGTAGCTTGAGCCAGTCTAAGCATGCTGTTCTTGCATTGTGGAAAAAATTAAGTTACCAGAGGTGAAGAGGGGTGGAAGCATGGATGCTGGTTAAAGACTAAAGAGTGATTGTGATTTAATAGGCCCTGTTAATAGGTGAAGCTGCCGTTTTTAATCATTCATAGGTGCTGCTTCATCGCGAAGTGTATCCCTTTTTTCGCAACCTTACTGTGTTACCTGGCATTTATATGCGTTTATTTTTTGGAAAATAGACCTAGACCCGTCTCTGTCGAAGATTAGTGGAATTTTCGACAGCCTCAAAAATCTGTATTTGAAATAAATACTAGTTTTAACTATGGAAATACAGAAAATAACAATAATTTATTGGAATAGTTATTTTTTTTTTTTTTTAGCCATCAGAGATTTCTATGTGGGCTGTAAATGAATAGAAAGTAGTGTGTAGGGAGGCAGATTTTGACCAATCATTGCGCTGTATTTTGATGACGTCAAATACGCAGGCGGAAAGTGGCGACTGCTGCTGTTTTCGCGCAGTCGTGGGTGAACCACGCCAGAAGTCAGGCGTTGTTATATGTCTTCTGTTTGCTTTATATTCACAGGTCTGGTTACTGTGTTTTTCATTCCAACTTCCTGATTAAAATTAAAAATAAGAGAGATAAAAAAAAAAAAAAGAAAGATTGTTTTTCTTTGTCAACATACAAGATTTTCTCCCTCACAACTAATCCGATATATGACTTTTTGTTTTGGAGCACGTGCAAAAACAAAACCGAAAGGAACAATTTTAAAAGTTAAAAAAGAAAAACAGAAAAAAAAACCATGGTGACATGTCACAATCTAGTTCTTGGGACTTTTATTTTTGTGTTAATCGGTTTCCTGTCTTTGTCTGAGGTGAGTAAAAATTCTACATTTTTGTTTTTGAATTCGTTGAAAGAAAAGAAAAATATTTTTTAGTTGCTGCGATTGGCAATTCGTTTTTTTGTTTCCCTTTTTTAGGATAAACCCGGCAATGTAGGGCATTCTTGTTGTAAGTGATAGTGACATGTTCATGAATTTTTCTGGGTTCGTTGAACAAAAATTATTTGTATATAAAATATTTTTTACTAGTTTTAACTCGAATCGAAATCTAAAAAGAAAGAACAATAAGATTTTGAAAAAAAAAAAAAGAAAGTTAACTTAAAAATGCTTAAATTAAACTAAAGCAAGTGTTTTTGTACAACCGTCACAATCTCTAAGCTTTTTTTTTTTTTTTTTTAAATGTAAACAAAACCACAAAAAAAGGAAAGAAAAAATACATTTTTTTTTATATCAACACGTAACATAAAGTGACAAAGTCTTGGTTAAAATTTAAATCGGTTATTCGTAAAGAAAAACTAATTTTTTAAATTGATTTAAGTTAAAGTAGCAGAGTTTGTCTCAAATTTTCTGCTTGTTTGTTTTTTCATTGTATGTTTTTCTTTTACAGTTTTAAAAAGTATTTTCTTCTTTATTAAACAAAGCAAATACTAAAAAAACGAAAACTGAAAATTAACAAAGATAAGAATCGCTTTTCCCCACTTTTCTTTTCATTTTTTAGCTTTTAAAGAAATCTAATTAGTGTTTTTGTTTTGTAAACATCAAGTTTTTTGGGAGGCAACAATTGTCAATTCTTATTCTTTTCTCTGACAATGTTGAAAAAAAATATTAAAAAATTTTTTCCTTCTAATTTGAGTGTTTCACACACACACACACACACACACACGATTATCTCTTACGCATACAGACACGTACTTAAATCAATTATTGATAGGCGCGCGCACACACACACAATCTTGTCGGCTCCCTGTCAAGGTTGACTATGGTGTTAACAGCTTTTAAGTCGCTGCTATTCCAGGACAGTGTTACACTGCAGCTAGGTATGGATTTGCGGCGTTATTATACGATACAATACATTTGCATTCGCTCTTCAAAATGCTATCTACTTCCCGGGTATTAAAATGTGCATTTTGAACGCCAGGAAACTAATTTTTCCAATCAACATCAGTAAAGGACAAAGGTATTTTTAGTTAATTCAATAAGACTAACAGGATATAAATTTGGGGAGGATTGATGCCGAAAATGCCAATTTTGAATCTTTGATTTCACATAAGCTCTACAAAGTAATCATATATATATATATATATATATATAAGCAACCTATTGTTCTGACATGCCTGTAACAAGAACTTGATCTAGATATCTACTGAGGGGCCTATGCCCAGGTAAAAATGTCATTAGTTTCCAGCAATCTTTAAGCCTCTCCACTAAAATTCAAACCTGTTTTATCAATTCATTTTCCCATGATTTTTACTAAGCTGCCTTTCTTTCTCTGGCATGCATGCATATATATATATATATATATATATAATATACATACATATGCAAAATATATATAAAAAATTCCCATACATGTATATTTTCAGAAAAAAAAATATTTTCCAAGAGGAAGGATCCAGGTAGAACTCAATGTCCAGGACAGAGTAAGGATATAATAAAAAAGGCTTAAACACTAATATTCCATGGTCATAATTTATTCCATTGGAATCGTAAATACGATCCAAATCATCAGACCTACAAATTCAAAAAAAGAAAAAGAGTAAAATAGTTTTATTTTTTTCTTATTTATTTTAATTTATTTCTATTGTCATTAAAGTAATAATAAGTCAAACTGGTACATTGGATAACAAACTGTTCACTCTGACATCCAGTGTAAAATAGTCCTTATTTATCATGGTAGAGGGCTTAATTGTTCCAGTGATGCCAAGAGCGAAGCAGTCTGGAGTTCCACCTTGTGTAAGACCATACATGGTGGTAAGGTTGCAGAGAAAGTGACCAACCCCCGCAAAGACCGCAGCAAAGAAAATAGATGAAGAGCTACACGATTTCAATGGACAAACCAGTGGAACAGGGCAGTGTCATTTGGACTGGTGTAACCAAGGTGGAGCTCAACAGACCAAACATCCGACAGTTCCATGCAACCAGGTTTGCCAGATCTCACCTGTCTCAATACCCTTTGAGCTGCAAGGGTGATGCTTCTGGTCAAGCATGTGGGCTTCTCTGTCACACAGAGTTATCCACCAAAATCAAATTCACGCGAATGGCCTTGTCAAAATCTCATTGATTCACAGCCATATCTCTGCCACTGCCACCGAGAGAAAGGATGATGATCATGATGTTCAGTTGTGAGTGGCTGCTGACAAGAAAGATAAAAAACTGTTATTTTTTTTGTTTACTCAGTACAAGGCCCAAGGGCCACTCATAGTAGAGGGTTGCTGTGTGGAGTTGTATTAGCCTTAGGCATATAGAGTTAAAGTAGACTTTAGAAGGAACCAGAAAACCAATCCTAAACAGCAAACAAAGGATAAATCTCTGCTGCTGTTCAAAAGACTGGGGAGAAGTGTGAACTGGGCGATAGGCAAATCTATTAATTCCTATTGGGGGAGGAGAGAAGAAAAAATAAATAATTAGTGAATAAAATTTTAGACTTCAGTTAGAAATGTTAGGAGTACAAAGCTGAAGCAGACTTTAATTGGAAAAACGTTTCTATATTTAATATGTTTCACTTTTATCAAAGCTTCATCAGAGAATGAGATCTGGAGAAAGAAAGAAATTCTGGTATTTTTATTTTTCTGTTTTTCATTGTTAAGCAGGCTTCATATGCATTTGACTTGTTAAGCAGCATTAGTATAAATTAATAGTGTTCTGAACTCAAGGAAAGGTGTCTTTTCGAAGCTCTAAAAATAACACATTATATGACAGGTGTTTAGTGATGTTACTCCATACAGTGGCAAAAGTGGCAGTCAATTTCATTCAGCTTACAGAAATAAAAAAAAGCAGACATTTGTTTGGCTTAAACCTCTCGTCACAGGCTGAGGCTAAATCTGCCTGTCCCAGCAGCTTACAAGCAATATATCTTGCTCAGATATTGAAAGATGGTAACTGGCTAGCCATCCTCAATTTGGGAATATCCCAGACTCACCATTTCCTGTTTGCAGAATATGCGTACACTTGGGACATAGTAGACAAATCTGGTTCACTTGAATCTAGCGTCCTAAACATAGCTTCCCCAGAAACACAGAAGAATCTCCATATTATACGAAAGGCACTATCTTTCCATTCTCCTTTCACTTTGTTAGCTGTTAGTAAAATGTATTCCTGATAATATTTTTTTTTGCTTTTTTGTTATAAAAATGCATTGCTGATAACTCTTTGTTTTTTTTTTTTTCTCTATTGCTGGTAATTTTTTTTAACTATGAAAATGTATTGCTGGTATTTTTACTATAGTTTTTTTTTTTATTATTTTAATAGTGTTTTGACCCCATTTTGGGGGGTTAACTATTTCCCTATAGCTGGGCCCCTAATAGGTGCTACCTGGGACTTGGGAACACCAGCAATTAAGAGATGGTTCCAGGTTTCAAAAAGTTTAAATTCCTGTCAGATGTATTTTATCATCATACACAGGACAAGTTTGCATTAATAAGAAAGAATGCTGAATTATATGCTAAAAATTAATTTTTTTTTTTTTACACAAATTAAATTTATGGGTTTGAAAATTTACTTCTTAAAAAAATTGAACTTTTTTTTTTTTCGTTTCTTTTGAGATACTTCAAAGAAGAAAGCTCCATCAAGTTCTTTTTTTCTCCAAAAGTTTTTAAAAGAAAGATTTTATAAATTTTCAAGCCAAAAACAGTATCTTTGCAATGAATGCCAAATGTTTTTTTTAGAGAAACTTAATATAAAAATAAATGTGTTAAACAATTTCCTAGTCTTTTGACCACTTGAGAATACCAGTTGCCCTTAATAAATTTTTTTTTTCTTTTATTCTACAAATATAGCGTAAAAAACATTCCCTCAAGCTATGGGTTAATTTTTGTATCACTAAATCATTAATTGGAGTCTTTTTTTTTTTTTTTTCAATCTTAGTAATAAGAGGTCAATTTGCAAATTTTCAATAACATTTACATACAATATACATATATTTTGACAACTAATTTTTTTTTTTTTTTTACTTAAGATGAAAAAAAAGAAATGTCTTTCACAAAATGGACATAATACCAAATGAAGATGTCTGTATGAACAGACTTTTGAAACAAAACTATATATATATATATATATATATATATAAATAATAACTAATACAACATGCCATTTTTTTTTTTTTATATGAACAAGGAATAAACAAATTAAAAAATTTAAAAATTCATGCACAAAATTAAAATAAAATTTAAGGTTTTTTATTGAAAATATATATATACTATTTATATATACATTTATAATTATAGATGGAAAAATGAATTCTCTATTATTTAAAAGAGTGCTTTCCAGATATAATTTAAAAAAAAATCATTAAAAATCACCCAAAATAGCATTTTTCATTTTTTTTAGTAATTTTAACATTTTATGTTATAATTTTTTATAAAAATAATATATATATATATATATATATAAGTGTAAATGGATATAAATTTATATATATATATAATAATGTATATGTGAGAGAAGATAATATATAAAGCACATTGAATTAAATCTACATTTGTGAAAATTTCTGTAAAATTGACTTTATATTTTTTTTTTTTCGTTTTGAGATACTCTATTTTTATTTTTTTTCTTGCTTTAATTTTTGGATATTTATAAAAGAATAAATGTATAAACAATTTTTATAAGCTGTAGCCCTTAATAAATTTTTTTTTCGTTATCTCTATCTGCCATCCATTTACTCAATAAATTCACTAGGTAGGTTATGCATTGTTTTTATTTTCAGTCTATCTTGTGTCCCAAATTTTTCTAAAATGCAAAATTTCAACTTCCTTGTTTTTGTAAACAACAAAATCAATTAAGATATTGGATCAAAATTTTGGATAAACCTCAAA